TTTTTTTTATAATTTTTAGCATATTTTTTTTATTTTTTTTAATTTAATAAAATTGTGTGTATTTTTATTCAATTTTAATGTACGAAAATGTTTAGGTTATATTAATATTATTTTATAATAATAATAATTATTTGATTTTTTATGACTGTTTGTTTTTAGAAAAAACATTTCCTTTTAAATTGAAATTGAAATGTGCTTATTATATTTTAGATGTTAAAAATAAATATAAGTTAAAATTTTATTTATATATAATATTTTTCAAATAATTTTTCAAAATAAATTTATAAAAATTTTCAAAACAAGAAATAATTAAAATGTGTTTTTACAATTATTTTCAAATATAAGTAATATCTATACTTATAAAAAATAACTTATTTTGAACATTTTTTTTTCAAAATTATCTTATTTTTAAGCTTAAATAAACTTAACATATATTATATTTTCAAATTTTCAAAATAATGAAATTATGTATTTAAAATATGATTATAATTATGTACCATATATTAATAATTTTTGTGTCATTTATCCATTTATAAAATTAAAGTATTGAATGAATAAATTTATAATATTTTGCTCTCTTAGAAACATTTTTTTCTTTATTCTCATTTATAATACTATAAAAAATTTAAGTAATAATATTGAAACACAATAATAAATAATTAAATTAAACTAGGTGGATTTGTGAGTCAATCTGACTCACCACGGGTTCAACCCGGGTGAGCTGGGTTCTGAGTGAGCCGGGTTGAAAATTGGCCCATATAAAAAATTTCATTTCTTTCAAATCCAACCCGACCTGAACTCACGGTGGATTGGGTTGGTCTGCGGGTTCTAACCCATTTTGACATCACGAATCAAGACATGCCAAAGGCTACTCCTGTCGTTGATTATTCTTTTTTTGTTGGGTTTTCTTCGTCCATGGAAGAAAATATTGAAAATAGGTGTAGGAGGATGGAAGAAATGTACATTCTTAAAGGTTCTAGGCATGAAGAAGTGTGTAATCTAATTAGATATTTAGATACTAGAGTTTCTCAGTCAAAAGAGAAATTTAATAATTATTTTGTTGATATAACGATGATATGTGATGAATTTGAAATTTTAATTTAATAAAATATTTTCTACTTTTGTTTTTCTTGTTGTACGAGTTTTCTAATTAAGGAGAAGTTGAATTTTATTAAGTTATCTGATTTAGGAGGAGCTACATGAAGAGTTCATTTTGTTTATTATGATAAAAAAAGAGGAGAAAAGTTTAAAGCATGATTACCTTAAGACTATTTAATGTTCTTCTCTTATGTAGTTGGTTATTTGGAGGTAATTACAAAAGACTTTAAAACAAATTTTGATCATCATAAAAAAAAGGAGAGATTTTTGGTAAAAGAAGGAGATGATGGAGATCATTTTTCAAAGAGTAAATTTTGATGATGATAAAAGCAAGTCTAAGAACTTAAAGTGATGACAAAAGATATTGGAAGACTTATATTTTATTTATGTCTTTGATTGAGCCTTTGTAATAAGTCATATATTAGTGAATAAAGTGTTTGTAGGACTTAGCTTAGAGAGTTATAAAGCAACATGCACAAAGATCACTCATGAAAGATTTTATTTATCCGAAAAAACTCTGATAATTGATTATGACTAATGATAATCGATTATCTAATTAAAATCAAGTTTTTCAAAAGAATTTTTGTAATGATTGATTATCATTGTTATTAATTGATTATCATAACGAAAAAATGTTTTCAGAAAAATTTATGTGATAATCGATTATCTTTTTCAATAATTGATTATTAGTGGTAATTGTGACTTGACTATTCATATTCTTGACCTAATTTTCAAATAAGCAGTCGATATATTTTTTGTGAGACCTATTTCAAAAATAATTTTTCTATTTAGAGGTTTAGGGTTGTGACGGCTAAAGAAACTCTTTGTTTTTGTGAAAATGGGCTTTAAAAATCTATTGTGGGTAGAGCGATAACTTTCACCAAGTAAGTTCTAGTATTATTGAGTATTGTTTTTATTGCGTAGCTCAAATGAAGTGTTTCATTCCTTGTGTTATTCAAGGAATGTGCCATCAATCTTTTATGTATGCAAAGAAAGGTATTTTTAAACCTTAAACTTTTTCTTCTATGATTGTAAGTTTGGTTCATTTTTAATGTTTGAATTAATCCATCATCTTTTAAAGATACTAACGACTGGATGTATGGTCTTTTGATTTGAACTAGTATAAAACATTTGTGTACTAATTTTGTATTCTTTACTCTATTTTATTGAAGTTATTAAAACAAGAGAAAATGTTTTAATTGAATGACAAATTTTAAGGAAAATTTTAAACCAATTCACTCCTCTTAGTTTTTGTCCAATGTATATTGTATGGTAAGACTCTAACCACGTTAGTTTAGCAATTTGGTTTAAATTTTTTATTTTGTTGTTGTTAAGTCTAATTTTTAAGAAAATCTGTTTTTAGATCCAATAATTTATGTATCACATTATAGGCATGCGAATGTGATTTTAAAAAGTCAATAAAAGTGAAAATTGTCTTCTACCATGATAACAAAACTTTAACCAACCAAAATATGAATGATTGAAAAGAAAACAAAATAATCAAATTTTCTCCTTTTGGGAAAAAAACTCCATATTTTTAGCTACTTTCTTTTTTTAAATTCCAAAAAATTAAATTCTACCTTAATAAAAAAAATTATAAGTTAAAATTTTAAAGTACCCTTATAAATTATTTTTTCCATTCAAAATTTTCTTTTATCTTTCTTTGCAATGTTTTCAACTCTCCCCACCAAAACACATGTATATACATTTTAATGTTGATTTTGTAGGATTGGGTAACTTTAAATTTCACTCTTTTTAGATAGTATCAAGGTTTATATTAGTCAAGTTTATTAAACATATATTGTTGTTAGCTATTAGGTTCTTCCTTAATCTCATAATTGTGATGTTGAGATTTGGATATAAAATGTGTTAAAATCTTACATTAATTAGAAATATGACCAAATCATAACATATAAATAAATATAAATTTCCTTTTTAAAGATAACTTGTAACGGTGAATTAAACTTATATCCACTTTTTTACAAACATTTCTAAATTTTGTTTGAACCCAAATGGATAAAATTAACTAAACCGCATTGTTAAAAACTATAGTGAACCAAAAATAGTTCACCTAAAACTAAACTAAAAATTAGTTAAGACGGAGTGAACTGAACTAGTTTTTGTTATATCAAATTGTATTGTACTAAATTGCACTAAATTGTTATATGAACTGAACTGCTATATACCTTAACTTATTTCCGAATTGTATTATTTTTGAATCAAATTACAATAGTTTTGAACAAAACTATTTTTAATTGTTTAACTAAATTATTCAACTAACATTACATCTCAATTAAAATACTAAAAAAATAATATATACCCACTTCATTCATAATACAAGTCCTCGTAAAAAAAATATTTCATACTCACATCACTAGTCTCATAATATAGTCAAAGGAGGATATGAAATATTTTCTATGGTAGATTTTGATTTCTTCCCTTAAAAGTTGATTTTCATTGGTATGGTCAAATGTCACCAACTTCAGAATATCCTTTAGTATATATTGCTTTCTTCCTTGAAAATTGAAAAGCTTTTTTACACTTGAATAAGCTGAAAAGTCATTTTCTTCAAATATTTATGTGCAAGGAAGTAAGGACCCGTGCACTAGGGTGATAATCATTACTTTTTTTCATTTGAGATGATAATCATTACTTTTTTTCATTTGAGATTAGATTAAATGAAAGTGTAAGACGAAAACAAAAATTGTCGGTCACCCTTTTAATATAATTCTTGATTCCCTAATCCATAACAGTTCATCCCAGTAAAAACCCAATACATTCTCAAAAGATTGACCAAATTGGAGAAAAAAAAAAAGCGGAAATGAATAGTAATATTTAAAAATTGAAAACCCAAAGAGATAAAAATATCACCTCACGTCCAACGTGATGCAAGAAAGACAATGACAAAGAGGACAAGGAGAAAGGGGGTGACAGGGCCTTTGATGACGACAACGGGGATGAGAAGCTTGAGAAGCTCTTATTCTCTGTTTCGACTATGGGGAATGAATAAAAATGAAGTTTTCATAATGTTTAAGATAGAACGCAATTAAAGAGAAAGAAAAATAATAAAAGATATGATTCAATTAATGAGCATATAGAAACTATAAAAGAGTACTGTTTCATTTTTATGTAGTTTAATATAATACAGTTAATTAGGTTAATTTTGTTCATCCCTACTAATGGCTGAGTATGGTCTCCTTCATCTTCAAAGTTTTGACTGCATATGTGAAGGAGAGCAAAGCGCACATCTATATCTACTAAGAAAAACATGGAAGAGTGAGAGATCGATCCCAGATGGAGAAAGGGGAAAAAAAGGGCTGTGGTAACAAAATAGTTTGGGGAGTAGAGCAACGTGTGATCCCATCATTCAAACCTCGAATAGAGTCGTGATAAAGAACCACAATGCTGAAACGAGCAGTGTGGTTACTCATATTTCTTATATTTCGGGGATATTAGATGAAAATATTACTATATAAATCAATTGAAAAAGCTAATTGTAACTCACAAAATGTGCATGGTTCATTTCAGCTTCTTATTTTCTTGACCTATATTTTTTTAAGAAAATTTGTATGCCTTTTTTTCCCAACAATTGGTGACCCTTGTAATAACATGGTAGTGATCTCAGACTGAGCCCACAAACCAACTAGAAATATTCAAATTCCTCAAATTACTGATGCCACTACAGTATGACGTTTAATCAATGTTTGCATTTGATGGAAACGCAGCAAGGTAACTAAAACGAAGAATCAAAGAACAATAGTCATGCAACTGCAATGGGAGCAAGCAGAAAGTATATATATATTATATATAAATTTGACCACGGAATCCATTTTGTTTGGTCCACTTTAAATATAAAGTCACATTACAAAAGCAAGCACAAAAAGTTACAGTAACGAATTGCTTGGCTTTCTTATGCTTGGTTTTGTTTGGGCTTATCATCGTGCTCCTCCAGGACAAATAGCAGCAACCGTTTTGAAAGAAAATGAAATTTTCGCAAGTAAATTTTACAAACCATGGACCTTTTAAGCAATGATATAATATTCCAACTGCGGAATTTAAGTTATGGAGCAAAGATTACATACAACGAGTGAAATAGGTTTGTCCCACATACCCACCAGCCATAGCCCTCCTCACATTAGACTCAAACAACTTCGGGTTCTCTCTCAAGACCGCAGCAGCTTCATGATTCAGGGGATCCTCATAATTTGGTTCCTGCCACGATAATTCAGAGATTATAATGTAAAAGTTCCAAGGATAGTAACCAAAATTGGCTAAAACCAGAGTCATACCGTGAAGAGATGATACAATCCGTAGATGACTGTGTTTATATTGAGAACAGGTTTCCAATCTTCTCGCAGGATGTTAAGGCAAACATTTCCTTCCAAGTCTATATTTGGATGGTAGACCTACGTGTATGGCATGACAAATTAAATTCTGAGTTTTAAACAGACAAGGAAAATGAAAAATGTCACTAGCAAGATTAACACGTAAGTTTCTACATAAATAAAGTATGACTATATAATACCAAATATAATCATGGTTTCCCAATTCCTACCTTTGTCTTGCACTTAACCTTTGGAGCCTCGTGTGGATAGATGGGAGACACTTGGAAAGTAAACAAAAATGTGCCACCCCTGTAACGAACAAACAAAAATAGAGGAGAAAAGGAAGTTCTCAGTTCATTTTCCTTTTACTTATGGGGTGGAGAACGGGGATGTAAATCCAATGAGATAGGTACATCCAATTTTCCAAGTTAAATACAAAAGAGATGGGCAGATAGTTTGGGAAGTTCCATACATGTAATAGCCATCATCAGGTTGGATTGAAACTTCAAAGTTCATCAGGTCATCTTTGCCATTGGGAAATCGTATGATACACGATGTTGGCAGATTCAATTCACTTATGTCTGCAAGAAGTGCACACCAATGTAACCCGAAAGCTCATATAACAATAAGATGGCAGAAACCACAGCCTCAAGTAATCTCAAAACAAGATCAATAATAACAACAAAAGCTTTATCCCACTTGGTAAGGTTAGCACCATTAGCTACATGAATGACATATAGTCTGGTTATAGACCAGATCTCAGAGAATCTTTACCATGAAACTTCTATCAACAATTTCCCCCAATGTCTTTCTTGGTGTCCCTCTCCCCCTTTTCATAGGAATAAAAACCATACAATCAACTCGTGCTACCTGAACTTCCAAAGGTCCTTTTTGTATGAAACCAAACCACTTAAAACCAAAAAACAATATCATATATGTACTAAGAACAGATACTCATTTTAAGAGATATATCAGTTTACAACTTTACCAACACCGTGGGAGAGTACACAAAAATCAGAGTATGTTAAAACAGAAAATAGCCAGATTAAATTCCAGCTTACCACATGCAGAAAAGAAATAATCTTCCCAGAAAAATCAATAATAAATTCAAAACTAAAACAGCTTCCATGAATACAGATGGAAGTGATATAAACAACGAACAAGAGCACAAACAATCACCCATTGATTTTTCCCCTGTCAATTCACATAAAATCGAAAATACAATTGATCTGAGAAACTATTGCAGTTGTACTTTCAAGTACCACAGTTTTTAACAAATAAAAAAGGATCTTAACAAATAAAAAAGGATCCTTATAGTTAGATCTCTTAAAAGCTTCTAATTGCCATTTCCCTCAAAGTTTGTGCATTTCTTACTTCAGAATTAAAGCAATATCTAATACTGACAAATGCACAAAGATATTCTCACACAAACTTGAATTATTACACTGCGTGATGCCAAAAAACAAAATAAAATTATGCAATCCTGTCAAATGCATGAATTAGACTATTAGACCAAAAACTACAGTTTTTACACAACATAATGACTAAAAACAAAAATAAAACCACTTACATAAGGAAAGTAAATTAACCAATAATGTAAATCTTCTAAATCACTAAGCCAAAAGCACGAACAAAGTGACAAACAACTCATCTTCGGAAACAAGCTTCAGACATCATAAAATGCAAATTGTGTGGTAGATATTCAATATGTTCCCTTAAAAAAGTAACAACCTTTCTTCTTCAGTTCAAAGTCACTCAAACAAAACAAAACAAAAACACTTACATATTGTTTATTATTTCTATCCCTTGTGATGAAAATCAAAGATCAGAAAATTTCAAACATTCTATTCTTACAACCAAATACATCAGTTCAGACTAAGTGAATCCACAAACTCCTTTTAACACATCCTTCCTCGTGCATGTCTAAAGCCCACAGAAGTCCCTACTCTGGTAATTAAAAGCTACATAAACTCTTTTGATGCATCAATTTTGGGTAGCACATGCATGATCGAATTGACTTGTGCACATAAAGCTTTGAGCCCAGCACACAAGTTTTAGCCATTTACAAAACAGAAATCATAGAGGTTAACCTTTGTGAAGACGCAACTCCCCAGCTGATTGCTTCTTAACAGGTGGTCCTCCGCTTGCATTTTCTGCTTGCTCTCTCTGCTTCTCCTTGACTTTAAACAGTTTAATCATCGTTCTGCAAAGGTGACATCAACTCAATCATGCACAACATTTAATTCATTATTGCCCGGCAAATTAAAAACCACAACTTCAATCCAAAGCCAAAAAGCAAGCAGATCAGAATATTCAACAGGGACACAATTAAAAGGGGGGAGGGGGCAGATCGAAATTTTGGCCTTAAGCCAAATATTTAGTTATCCCAAAGATGATAAACCTACATGTCTGGTTTCCAATAAAAAGGAATTAGAAAAGCGTGAAACCCTAAGAAACGAAGTAACCGGAAGAAGAGGGAAATCTGAGAGAGATGAAGGGTGAGGAAGTTGGAATAGAAATGAAAAGCTATGCGATGAGGAAGAAAGGAAAGGGAGTCTGAATTGAGAATAACCTGTATTGAGAAAAGTGCAGAGATTGAGAGGAGGAAAAGAGGAAGACGGAAGAGATTTGCGAGGGGTTTCGCAGTTGGCAGGTACCGCACACACTGCACTCGCACGCCGCAACTGCTAGCCTTTTTTTAGCTCAATTTTCCCATAAAAAACCTTTCATTCTTTGGATAATTTTTTGGTGACGTCACCAACATGATGCATTCTAATTTTACATCTTCCGTCTAAAATCTCTTTTCAAATAAATAATGACAATACTTAATCATCAAACTCGGTTAAGTGGATGGGATTTATGTTTTGACTGTTAATGTATTGTAATTATAAAATGAAATTAGACTATAAAATGTGATGTTATTTATGACATCTAATAACTTTTATTGTTCTTTTTCTATTCAACTCTTCTTTAAAACACTTTACTTTTTTTAGAAGATGCAAATACCTTTCTTTTTTTAGGATTCATAGCAATGGTGCCATTAATATCTTGTAACTGGAACATAATACCATTTAATATATAGATTTAGAAAATCAACATAATACCATTTACGAAAAAGTTATAAATCAACATCAACCCATCTTATACATTTAATATAGATTTAGGAAATCTAATAAAATCGTTTCCAAATTTCAAGATTACAAAGTTTTGGAGTACTGATTATATTTCCTAGTAGACTACTTCCCATCTACGTTTTATGTGTGAAAAATATCATATAAAATTATATTTAAATTGGTTTTATTAATCAATACATGACCTAAAGAGGATTATAACACTTAAATACCTGAATCAAAATCTTTAAAACAAAACATATAGAGAGAGAGAGGGGGAGGAGGGAGAAAGAGGGAAAAGTGAGTTTTTCTTATAATTCAAGTTTACCTGTGGTGAACTTTTAAGTACATTTTTTATGGCCTCTATTCTTTTTTATTTTTTCTTAAACTTTTCTCCTCTTCACCATTTATATAGTTAGTAACTAGTTTTTTTCTTTTCCAACTATTCCCATTATATATATATATATATATATATATATATATATATATATATAGGCATATAACACATAGTTTGTAACACATTAAAACTTGAATCTTGTTGATCTTTTGTTGTGCAAGATGAAAGTGTAATGAAAAGTGAACTGATCATTTCCATTTCTAACATACCACTGCATCATGACCATAAATAGAAGTTGTGCTCATCCATGGTTAATATAAAGTATTTATAAGAATTCCAAATCAACCACACTAACTCAATTAATAAGGTTGAGCATTATCTTCTACCAAAAATTTGCACAATTAAGAACTTAATAATTTGTGTTAACAGTGTCTTCTTTCTTTAGTTTTTGTTCTTTCTATTTATATGTCCAATCTTTATTGCATTGTATATATTCTCTAAGTTTTAAACATTTTTTTATAAATTTTTTAACTTCTAACATTTTAACTTGTATTGACAGTAAAAAATGTCATTGCTTTGACCCTATTCCTGATAATGAATCTTGTGATCATTTTGAAAACAAAGCATTTGGTTTTGAGTAAAAATGTCTGACAAAAATTCTCATTAAATTATTAAAGAATAAAGTTTGTACTCAAATTGAGAAAAGATATATTAGATTTTAGTGAAGTTGAAATAAAAATGATATCAAATATATTTTTAGAATATTTTGTCAGTCAATATTTTCTGAATAAGGAAGAAGCTTATAATTTTATGAAAATTACGCAAAAAGAAATGAGTTTTGAATTTTAAAAGAATGATTTACTTAAAAAAAATGGAAAAATAAAAATACAGTATTTTTGTTGTTATTATGAAGGATTTTCAAAGTAAAATTTTGTTAACTCATCTAAGTATCAACATAATAGGATATTAAAAGTGTTGATATTATAACGTGGATATAAGAGTGCTGTGAGAATCAAATGAATAAGTATTTGATATTTTTTTATTTATTGCCAAAAAGAAAAGTAGGATATTTGGGGTGTCTTAATCTTAATACATAGTTATTACTAGTAGAAAGTAGTCACAAATCCAAATTTCTATCAAAGTGCACTGGGATGGTATAGATTACAATAACTTTCAAATGAATAAAATAGTTCTCTGCCTACAATCTCTACTTAAGATACACCACCTCATGATGGAAGCGACCTCCACCTTCAAGAATAGAGTGGCTTCTCAGACCAGAAGTGACAGCAGAATGGAGATTGGTTGGAGATGTTACGGTGCATCGAAGGTGTTCGATGAATGGTCTGGCAGTGTTTGGATGTGGTGTGGTGAGGAATTCTAACTCAGACGGCCTTCCAAAGGGGAAGGGAGCTAGAAGGAGACAAGCTAAATCAGCTATCAGCAATGAACTTGAGAGAATGGCTGGATTTCAGCAGCATTTCATTATCAAACTGAATTTATCTTTTACAATGAATCAAGCTCTCTTTTATAGAAGAAGAGAAACTTGGAGAAGTGCAAGGAAAGCTACATATTGAACACGTGCATAAATCTAGAAGAAGTGTGCAGGAGAAGTGTCACAATTGGGTTGCATGTTTCATGTGGAAAGCATTCAAAACGTGTTCAAGGTGATGAAGCTGGTCTGCGTTCGTTGAGCGACAGGTGCGATGTGCGCTGTGCGGTGGCAGCAGATGCACTCTTCATTGCTTCCTTTGTTCTCCTTTGCTTGGCTAGCCTCTCAAGGTGTATAGGCATGGTTCTCCACCTTTATTGGTAACCTACAAAACAAGGTAAAGATATTTAGTTAAAAAAGAACATGCTAATACTTTAGAAAGAAAAGATGTCCTTTATTCAACTTCCCTTTCTTGGTCTTAGAGTGAAGTTGATACTTCTTTGGATGGGAAATTCCTAAAGGGTTTGCCATCATTCCCTCCTTCTTTAAAACGATTTGTCCTCAAATCGGGAAGAAAGAAAAAAGCACAACTTTGGTTTTTATTGGCCACCGGGGTCAAAAATATATCTACAAAAAATAGCAAAAATTAGTATGATTAATGAAATATATGCAAAGATAAGAAGATAAAATGAAGGCCTTTTGACAAAAATGGTATGAGAAGAAGTCTTGGCCTTTAATATATTTTTGGATTCACTTTGTTTTGAACATTCCCCATGATAAAATGAAGAAACAAAGTGATGTTTTTGAAAAGAAGAGTCAAGGTATTTACCTTTTAATGAAAAAGTTAACAACATGCATACCTTTGTCTCCTTCTTCTTTTCTTGAGAAGGTTGCTTTTCCAACCTATTTTCTTGTTTTCTTTCTTTTTTTCAATTTTTTCTTTGATTTTTATCTCATCCTCTTTCACTTGTTGAGGTGTAAGAGGAATCAATTTGATTTTAGTTCCTTTATGAAGGAAAGTTATTTTGTTGGTATAGCCATCATGAGTGGAGTTATGATCATATAGCCATGGCCTACCAAGTAATACATGCCCAACATCCATTGGAACAACATCACATAAAACGGTTTCTTCATAGTTTTCAATGGATAGTGGTATGGTTACTTGTGTGTTGACTACTATTTCTTCATCCTCTGTTATCCGCTGAAGCTTATAAGGCTTGGGATGAGGAATAGTAGGTAAGACCAATTTGTTCACCACTCTAGAACTACAACAATTGCAAGAGGAACCACTATCCACAATCAATGAGCAAGTGTTTTCAAAGATTTTGCATCTTGTTCTAAATAGGTTTTCCCTTTGTGATTGTTCTAGTTCTTTGGATTGACTTCCAAGAAGTCGTCTTACCAATAATAACTCACCTTCACAAGGTAAGGCTTCTTCCTCAGAGATAGAAGTATCTGAGTCACTAGCTAGAAGAATCTTCACTTTCACTTTGATGATCTAAGAGATAAGTAGATCGTTTGTGAGGACACTCAGAAGAATAATGTCCTCTCTCTCTCCACACTTAAAGCATTTGGTCTCTCTACCACTTGTTACTTTTGAAGATTCTTTGGTGAGGAGGATATTGGTGCATTAACATACCTAGCTTGGGAAAGGGAAATTGATGACATGCATCCATTCATTGTTAGAAGAAGTAAATTTGAAACCTATTTCTATTCTAGAGATAGTGAATCATATGTTCTTAGTCTCTACACTTCTAGTTTTAAAAAGCATGCAAGAGAGTGGTGGGATGAAAGACGATATCATGTTAGGATAGGAAAAAAGTCCCACATTTGTGATTGGAATGAATTAAAATCTTGCATGAGAAGAAAGTTTGTGCCTCTTTCAATCAAAAGAAACCTGGAACTAATGAGAGATAGTATTGAAAATGGAAAAATATTTCTTGAGAGATTAAATGATTATGGTTTCTTTCATAGAGAAATAGAATTTGGGGCAAAACTTCAAGAGTTAAGGGATAAGAAAAGGGAAAGAGATATTAAACGAAGAGAGCAAGAAAGAAAAGAGGAAGAAGAGAAGTGGAAAAGAGAAGAGAAGAAGAAACGAAGGAAGAGGAAAATAGAGAAAAAGAGGAATTGCTACTGATAGCAAATTCAACTCCAAAAATCATAGAAAGGGAAGGTTTTTAATTCTTTACATCTTTTCCAGTAATTGTTGGGTCTTCAAATATTAACTTCTCTTTCAAAACAATTGTCATTTGATATTCTATGTACAACGTTTCAACAAATGGCAATTTTTTGTTATTGTTACCTTTATGGAGACAAATAACTTAAGACAAAAGCAAAATAACTTTTCCCCTTGGACTTCTACACATGCTTCAAACGTCAAAACAAACTCTAGGAAGTTCTTATTCTAAAGTTCTTATCTTAGAAAATTTTTATATTGGATTGATATTAATTGCAAATATATTTCATGTGTATTGTAAATTTATATTTCATCCAGGAGGAGGAAAAGTAGATCTCAAGGAATAAAGGAATAAGGCCACTGCAAGATGGCTTTGCTCCAGTTGTGGAGCGTCTTCATAAGGCACCTGCCAAGATTTGAGGACAAATCTTTTCTAAGAGGGAGGGAATGATGACATACTGCCTCATGAAATTACCTCAATATCTTCTTGTATTTCTTT